TAATCTCCTTTTGAACAACCGTTTTTTAACCAACGATTAACTAACCCACGATTAAGAAATTTAATCGCCGATTAGGCCTAATCGGTGATTAGTTTAATCGCGGTTTTGAACAACCGGGCCCTGATGAGTGGGAAACCACGAAACAGAACTTTAGGGATGAACTTGTAGTTTATTTGTCTTTTTCCTCCCACAATATAAATATAAATATATATATATATATATATATATATATATATGTGTGTGTGTGTGTGTGTGTGTGTGTGTGTGTGTGTGTGTGTGTGTGTGTGTGTGTGTGTGTGGGGGTAGAGTCTACCTTGGCATGAAGTGCTCAATGCTGTGGTAGCAGAGCTTTAAACGACGTTACATGAATTACATTGGACTAACTGAAGGAACTTTTAAACAACGTTACACGCAACACAAACTTTCTTTTCGGGACAGAAACTATTCAAACAGCACGGAACTATCAAAGCATATCTGGCCACTCAAAGACAAAAACACCAATTTTACAATTAACTGGAGTATTTTAGCGACGGCCCCAGCCTACAGCAACAAAATCAAGCGGTGCCACTTGTGCTTCACAGAAAAACTTTATTTAGTCAGAGCTAAGAAGCCGTCTTTATTAAACAAAAGAACAGAACTCATTTCTAAATGCCGCCACGAGAATAAGTTTTACTAAACAAATTTCACAAGCCACCAACAATAGCTCTATAGAATCTTTATTTCACACGTAGATCAGATCATCACACTAGTGAATTAATTAGCTACTTATCTAATCTGTATATAAGGAGGTATGTTCTTCATTGAATGAAGTTCTGTCTGACGAGCGCTTAGGCGCGAAACTCAGAGTAACAGAGAAGCGATGCGTCCTCTTTGATTCTTTCACTTATACATACATACATATATATATATATATATATATATATATATATATATATATACATAAATATCATAAACACACACAAACACACACACGCACGCACGCACACATATATATGTAGATATATTTTCAAAAACGTTCCAATTTCAAAACACAATTATATGAAACATATGTATGCCTTTTCTTTTCGATAAAATAAAGGGACAATTTTTCAAAAAGAGAGTACAATAGCTGCTGTCAAATTTCCAAAGTCTTTGTTTCACTTTCGCAAGATTTTTTTGACCAATTTGTTTTGATTTCTTATAGATGTTTTTATTGAATTATTATGGGTGAAAAAATGGAAGTGCGATTTAACTGTAGTCAAGTGAACAAGTTTTCCAGCTAAATATATGTACACTTACATAGATTTTAAACCAATGATCTTCGATCAGTTCTTGCTTGAAATAACTAGACGGTGAATGGCATAGCGGAAAAGGCAATAACTTGCTAGGCTTTGCCGCATATTCCATTTAAGATGATTATAAATCGGTTGGTGATTGTTGGCAGATCGGTGGATTTAGCCTTAAAATATTTTGGTTCAGGAATTTTGGCAAAGATTTGGATGGATTCGTAGAAATATAAAATAACTTGGATCCGAAATCATTCATTTTTTACTATTCATGTTTAACAACTTTTTTACATGAGTTATTCATGCTCTCCGTCACAGTTAATAAGAGACCAAAAGTCGATTAGCCGCCCTGAAACACTTTTTGAAGGATATTCAAAACATTCTTACCTTGAACTACATGTATGTCCCACATCTTCTCCACAAGACTGTCACATTGCTTCTCCCAGCTATACTTCTCTTCATATAAACTTCTCACTTGTCGAATATCTTCAAGGCGATCTGATCTTTCCTTCTGTCGGACACTAGCAATTGCCTTTGCCCACTCCCCAGGGTCCTCAGACTCCACCACGAATGATTTGCCTGATGGTACAGCGCACAGTGCTTCACCAAATCCTGAGTTTCCACTGACAAGAATGGGAAGACCAGCAGACAACGCTTCTAACGCTGTCAAACCAAAACCCTCTGTTCTGGAGGGCATGATGCAGAGATCAACTTCACAGAATAACTCTTTCAATCTCTCTTTGCTTTGGACGGACTTCCTCACGGTCAGCTGATTTTTACAAATTCCACTCTTGAGTAAATTATATGCAACCTCATCCTGTTTACCGTCAGGTGCACATACGAACATCAGATGGTAAGAGTTGTCTTTCAGTTCAACTATTGCTCTAGCAGAAATATCATAGCCCTTCAAGCTGAAATCCTCTGGGTTACCACAGCCAAACGTTAGAACCTTAAACTTGTCCGCATCAATTGCAGCTTGATGTACGTCGGAAAACTCACTGAACGTGCTTGGCGTCAGTTGAATTACATCTTGTTGCTTCTCGCATGAGTGCAGGTGGGAAGGGTAAGCCTTCCTCAACTTTGGTCCAACTGCCACCACAGCATCTGCCAACTTACACAACTCCACTTCAGTTGTATTCTCATCTTCACCTTTGGAAATGGCCTTGGGATAGATTTTGTGTATTCCTTGTTCTTCGGGTGCAGAGTGTAGCACCTGAATCCATTTGCAACTGTGAGACTTTCTGATAACTTGGGCTTGCTTACCAAGCTTTGCACCATGACCCAGCACAAAGTCAATGACAAGGTCTCTTGGTGGGAAACTCAACCATTCAAGAGGATTTCTGAAGCCTGCAAGTTTCTTGGCCTCCTGGATGGAAACATTGTGACTTGATGCCATCCTCTTCTCTTCTTCAGAGCAGGCAAACTGTGGGACTAGGAGAGTAACGTCCACTTTAGAGTGTTTGGCCAACAGAATGGCAAGCTGTCTGCTGATGGTGGACAAGCCCGCTATTGACGAACTCCACCCACTGCCCAGGAGAGTCACCTTTAATGATGTGGCAGACTTCATTAGATTAATTTCACTTGCTTCATCATGTGATCTAGCAGCTACATTTGAAGAGGACAAACAAATTAGGCTACAAGAAAATTTGTCACAATAATGATAACAATAACAATAATAACAGTTGAAATATTAAGGCCGATAAAACGTTTCAGTTATGGAACTGTTATCAATGTAGGCCTTGTTAAAACATAAATTTCTTATTCAGTTAAATTGCATAATTGACAAATCGAGATTGGTTTGTTACACCCGTATTGATCCATAATGTTAGAGACTTTTCACCAAGACTGATACTAATCCGCTGTATCGTTGTCTAAACATGCGGTCGAATAGGCCATTGTATAGTTGTATACTAAGTTGTCAAGCCTTTGATTTGGAGGGAGACTAAAGTTTATCAGGTTGCGATTGAGACCAGTATCTACCTAGCATGATAACAAAGTAATTTGTTACGGCTGTAAACATGTGAAAATCATATGTGTGCACTGCGGTTGAAGAAACGAATATTGAATCGATCCTCGCAGTTGTGAACCCTACTGAACTAGTAGTTGAAATAAGGCCTGAAAAAAAAATTCTTAATAACTGCGAGGATTGATTCTATATTCGTTTCTTCATATCTATGTGTGTGTGTGTGTGCATATATATATATATATATATATATATATATAAACTGTAAAATTTTGACTTTCGTAATACAGTGCTCAATACATAGGAGTAGAACGATGTGTATATTGTGGGAGGAAAAACACATAAACTACAAGTTCATGTCTACAGGTCTACATTTGAAGAGGACAAACAAAATTAGGCTACAAGAAAATTTGTCACAATAATGATAACAATACCAATAATTCGTATTAAAAGAGATTTCTTAAAAGATGAAACGGTGAAAACGAACGATAAAATCCGACGTTTCGGAGTAGTCATGACTCCATTATCAAGGTAAAAGTTTAAAACATGGGAATTACAGTATTTAAGCGATGTGGCGCGAAAAATTAACATAATAGGTGCGAAGATTATACAAATACTTTCGCACGAATAGAGTCCGATTGCACGTTCAGGTTTGGCTTTAAAGTTCTTATATGAAACATTTCGTACAATAAGCAGTCAAATTTGTTCCTGCACTTCTTAAGAACTTCGAAGCATTTCAGTAGGTCCTGAGGGATCGTCCCGCGTACGTTCTTGCAATGTTTGGCAATGGCTGAGGACTTTTGTTTATGTCCTTTTTACACGATTGTGTAAATGTCCGCGTGTGTATCCTATATAACCTGCATCGCACAGGTCACATTGGTACTTATAAACAACACACTGTTCATTTACGATCGATGGCTTTGCTTCTTTCACATTCAGTTCTTGATCAATTTTTCGGCTGACAAATACGGGCTGGATGTTGGTGTTCACTTTTAGGCTCAGATCCTTGAGTTGTCGCGAGAATACTGTCTTCAATCGGTCACATTCGTCTGAGAAGTGTGACCAAGAAGAAGATAAACGATGTGCTCGACCCAGCATAGTTCGGCACATTCTTCCGTAAAATTTACGATGGAAACCGAATGCAATGGCATGCTCCCTTTTTTGGGCATCCAGTTACTGAACCGATCGCCCCAAATAAAGACAAAGGTGTACGTAAAACCCACGAATTCAAGTCTCCTCTTACATTACCAAAGTCACGTTGACAATCGGTACAAACAGGGTTTTATTCCGAACTATGCTGGGTCGAGCACATCGTTTATCCTTTTCTTGGTCACACTTCTCAGACGAATGTGACCGATTGAAGACAGTATTCTCGCGTTTAAAGTACCCCAAACACCTCATCGACTCTGCCACCAAAAGTTTCGTTGACTCAAAGGTTTGTGACCAGCAGCGACCATTATTACCAACTAAAGAGACGGATGACACAATTCGAGTGGTTCTACCATTTAAAGACCAAACCTCAGCAAATTTTGTGAAAGGACAACTCAAGGATCTGAGCCTAAAAGTGAACACCAACATCCAGCCCGTATTTGTCAGCCGAAAAATTGATCAAGAACTGAATGTGAAAGAAGCAAAGCCATCGATCGTAAATGAACAGTGTGTTGTTTATAAGTACCAATGTGACCTGTGGGATGCAGGTTATATAGGATACACACGCGGACATTTACACAATCGTGTAAAAGGACATAAACAACAGTCCTCAGCCATTGCCAAACATTGCAAGAACGTACACGGGACGATCCCTCAGGACCTACTGAAATGCTTCGAAGTTCTTAAGAAGTGCAGGAACAAATTTGACTGCTTATTGTACGAAATGTTTCATATAAGAACTTTAAAGCCAAACCTGAACGTGCAATCGGACTCTATTCGTGCGAAAGTATTTGTATAATCTTCGCACCTATTATGTTAATTTTTCGCGCCACATCGCTTAAATACTGTTATTTGCATGTTTTAAACTTTTACCTTGATAATGGAGTCATGACTACTCCGAAACGTCGGATTTTATCGTTCGTTTTCACCGTTTTATCAAATAACAATAATAACAGTTGAAATATTAAGGCCGATAAAACGTTTCAGTTATCGAACTGTTTTCAATGTGGGCCTTGTTAAAACATTAATTTCGTATTTAGTTGAATTGTATAATCGACAAATCGAGATTAGTTTCTTACACCCGTCTTGATCTTATGTTAGAGACTTTTCACCAAGACTGATACTAATCCACTGTATCGTTGTCTAAACATGCGGTCGAATAGGCCATTTTATAGTTGTATACTAAGTTGTCAAGCCTTTGATTTGGAGGGAGACTAAAGTTTATCAGGTTGTGATTGAGACCTGTATCTACCCGGCATGAAGTGTCTTAATAATGATAACAATAACAATAATAACAGTTGAAATATTAAGACCGATAAAACATTTCGGTTATGGAACTGTTACCGATGTGGGCCTTGTTAAAACATAAATTTCTCAGAAAATGATGTTTTTTCGTCTTGTCATGAGCGTCGGACAAAGAGACTTTTCACCAAGACTGATAGTAATTCGCTGTATTGTTGTCTAAACGTGCAGTCGAAGCTTGGTCGACATTAATTGGTTTAATTGTGTCAAGTTTTGGTTGTGATTGAAAATGCCCGTGAGCCGTCACTTTGGTATTCAGTCAAGTTGTTCTGTTTGCTATCACGATTAATAATCAAAAATAGTCTCAACTACTCGTTAACAACACAGCTAAAGGGAAGCCTCGCTTCGGTTTTTTTTCAATTACTTAAAGTGTTGCCAACATGATATCAAAGTTTTGCAAGGGAAAAAAATTTCTTCAAAGCCTTAGCATTTTGGAGAACTTTCATAGTTCAATCATGCTCTAAGGCATCTGAATCACTAAAAATTAGTACTTGCCGACCAGCCTTATTCTTTGTATTAGAGTTCATTGACAGTTATAATTAACCCTATACACACTAACATCAGTATGAATATTCTCCATACACTATACTTTCTCTATATTTTTCTTTAGGTTCAGAAAAAGAGAATTTGTTCAACAATCAAGAGCTTCTCTAGTTTTTGATCATTTCCCTTATTCTCATGACCTTAATGTTTGAATCAGGGTGATCTTATAAGGAGAAAATAGATGCCAGTCACTCTTAGGTGTTAAAGAATTAAATGACATGCTTTGTAAAATTTACTCACCTTGAACAGACTTTGTTTGTTCATTTCCATCAGTTGTGTTACTCGTTAAAGAAGTGTTTGGAGCTCTTTCTGAGGAGAAGGAGAGAAATGTCACATTACGGAATGCTACCTAGTGTGGAGACCAACAAACAAACTTCCATTTTGGAAGACAAGAAAAAAGTAGAAATGATGGATGTCTCAACGTCCGTTGTGCTCTCTCACTTCCACATTGTTTCAATGTTACTTTCTGTCCTTAAAATCAATCTTGCCCCTTTTTGCAAGAGGAGGCTTTAAATGACAATGTTATGAGAAATTACATGTTGATTAATTTTGAGTATTTTGTAGTATTACTATATTATATGTTTGACCCATTGGTGCTGAATGACCTGTAAGCAAATTTGAATACATGAAAATAGCTCTTCTTTGATCACTGCAGTTCTATGTTTGAGAACTAACTTATATCCTTTTCATTGAGAGAAGGCTTCATCTACACACTAAATCTCTTTCTGGAGTTTACCCAAATAGTGCTTGGTAAGTAAGCTTTATCGACCACCAACATATTCGAGCCGTCTTTGTGAAGTATATTTCGATCTTTTTAGTTACTCCCAGTAAAAAATCTGCCATCGGTATGAGAGAAGGGTAACCAAATTGAGTGCTCGGGTCACATAAATTCCCCTGTTTACAGAGATCTATAGAGTACAATTCTGCAAATTGAAAACCATACATTTCTATGGGCCTATTTACACGGTACGACTTTGTCGCATGCGACAAGCTTACGACAGGCTTACGACACGAATTGTTTCGTTTAAATCAAACCTACAACTCGCTTACGAATCTTAAGTCATGTCGTAGGCCTGTCGTAAGCTTGTCGCATGCGACAAAGTCGTGCCGTGTAAATAGGCCTTAAGCCAGATATTCAAATAAATTTGTTAACTCTGTTAAGCTATCGGCTTAAGAATATATTTACTTCTTTGGGCTAACCCAAAATAAAGGAGTCGGATCACTTTGCTAAAAATGTCAAAAAGTCATGAGGTCATCTCAGTGTTGCCCCCCTCCGTCCTCAATCCCCATCTCTCGATTAAATAGAGAGAGCACAAGTATAAGATCTGATCATTAAATTTCTTGAATGATACCTGTCTGAGTTCAGTGAAACAACAAATTTGTAAACATGCTTGAGGGGGCATTAAAAAAAATATAACATGCAAACCTCTGCTAATGTGTTTTAAAGCATTGACGAAGACAATGCCCTATTTATTCGGTTAAAGACAGCTCTCCGAAACACTTTGTATGTGCTCACCTGAACCCTGCAGAAAAAACTTTCGTGCAGCAATGTACTCCTCCATCTGAATAGTTGTTGTCAGTTTCAGCTCAGTCAAGTCAAACTCCTTCAGAACGTCCCTTGTCACAAGATATTTCTGTGCCATGTCATTCAGGTGACCTGTGCAATAGTCATACCACAGGGCATCCAGTATCTCCAATGAACTACATAGTGCTGTCAATATCAAACTTCCTACTTTCCATTCCAGAACCAGAACTTTGCGCACTTCTTTTAAATATTGTAGAAAGCCATATAACTCCTCAGGTTTAGAAGGGTCAACTTTCTTGAAGTGCCTGAGTGCGATGAAATTCAAAACCTCTTGTACGTTGGGTGCAGCCTCGTTTCCAGCACCTGCTTCTTCAACGCTTCCTGTTCTTCCTGCGAATGGTTGACCAGCCGATGCAACAGGTTCCACTGCCTCCAGTGGAACCTGTTGAACTCCAGTGACTAACAAGTCATGACTTCCTGCCTGGCTATCCTGTGTGTCTTGAGGCGTTCCTCCTGACGTTTTAGTAACTACCAGCCCATCGCTACCAGCCTGAGTACCCTGACTGGCTATAACCACTGTCCCTGATGTCTCAAGTCGTGGATGAGGGTCTGGGATGGTCCCACAATCAATCCATATTGGAATTTTAACTGTAAGGGGAAAGTTCAATCATGTTCTATGACATCTGAATCACTGATTTGCAGTATTCACTGACCAGCCCTATTCTTTGCATTAGAGTTTATTGACAATCATAGTTAAATGACATGCATTGTAAACTTAACTCACCTTGAACAGACTTTGTTTGTTCATCCCCATAAGTTCTTTTTCTCTTTAAAGAGGTGTTTGGAGCTTTTTCTGAGGAGAAAGGAGAGAAATATCACATTAAAGAATGCTACCTGGTTTGGAAACCTGCAAATAGACCTCCATTTAGAGGACAAGAAAAAAGTAGAAATAATGGATGTCCCAACGTCCGTTGTACTCTCTCACTTCCACATTATTTCAATGTTACTTTGTGTCCTTGAAATCAATCTCTTCCCCTTTTTGCAAGAGGAGGCTTTAAATGACAATGTTATGAGAAATTACATGTTGATCAATTCTGGGTATTAAAGGAATTAAAACAAAGCAACAAAGTCTAATATCCCCGAGGATTCCCAGTCCCTCTCCTATAGTCTTTCCTTGTTGTTTTACCCAGGACGTTCTCCCCAATCCCCTTCCCCCTTCATTTTTGATATTGGTTGAAATACATAAATTGCTGATAGGTACGTGGTATATGCCTTCTACAACTATACCTGCTGCTGTCCAAGCTTCTTTTACATTTCTCTGTGCATGTTTTGTTGAATCATTTGGAGCTGCGCCTGAAAAAATGAGTTAAGGTTAAAAAGACAATTTAATACTCCAACGTAAACCAAGCAAATACATGTTACAAAGCCAAACAAAACTCACAACCCTGAATGCCCATATTGTTATTGGATCCCTAGCAGCACACTCATTCGGAGTAGATAATGTGCATGTGCTTATGTTTGCCGCTTATAGATATGGCTTGGTAATTTATGCTTGCATACTTCAACCGTATTTCATCACAGTACCTGAATCTCATGAATATCGAAAAATACAAATTATGTAGTCAATAAAAGAACCAAACACAGGTAAGACTCAAATGTTAAATATATTTACTATAATTATTGGTGCTAAGTAGAAGTGAGAAAATACTTCGTCTCCTTTCAGCTTTATTAAAAAAAGTCAAAAGAGTGAGAAGTGTTGTGGAAGAAAGAGTAAGGCAAGCACAAAGGTATTGATGTTGTTTGATCCAGTTGCTAAATGACCCATAAGCCAACATGAATACTGCAAGTGAATTAAGCTCCTGTTTTATTACCAATTGTATTATTTCTTGTTTGAGAACTAACTCATTTCCTTCTTCAATGCTTCAAGACTTTATCTACACATTCAGTCTCTTTCTGGAGTGTACTCAAATAGTGCTTTGATTAATAAGTGCTGGGATAATAAAGTTCTACAGGTATTTCCATACATTTCCTTATAAGTTGAAAATGTTTAGTAAGGAACTATAAAGTGCACTGATTTGGCTGTAGTTGAAGCTTAAAAAAGTTAAAATAAAGTAATTAAATGAGGTTTTCCTTTTATTTAGGAAAGTGAGAGAGAAGGGTGATTGTTCAATGCTTGGGTGGAGGGGGGAGTTCTTATTTGATATATTGGCCTAGGGGAGGGCACTTCTTAGAGCATGGAGCATGGGCACTTATGCAAGGAAAGACAGAAGTTAATCATAGAGTTAGACTGGAAGATGCTGATAATCCTATTGTTGCAGCAATGACAAGTTGATTTTAGCAGATCTTTTTGTATTCTTCTGAGAACTTCTCTGCAGCACACCTGATTTACTGATTTGTTCCTCATAATTTTCCTGACAGTTGCAGTCTAATTTCAATATTCCTTAATTAACATGCAATGTAAAGTTGACTGACCTGGTATGGACTCTCCTTGTTTATTCCTCTCTGTTTCTTCACAGTCTAGAGAGCTGTGTAGAGCTTTACCTACAGACAGTAAAGAGAAAAAAGAATTTATCTGAGCAGTCCAGCCAAAGCTTCCCTGAAAATTGTCATAAATTAACTCAGAATACCCTCCTAGGAGGAGAGTTAAAGTTAAAGCTACTGTACCACTAAATGTTTCAGTTACCAATAAAAATAATATTACTGACCCTAAAAAAGACACCAACAAAGTTGACCATGCTTGTTCAACTTTCAACAGTACCTGCTTTGTGTCTTGAGTAAAATAACTACAGAAAGTATTTCCCATACAAATACACTTTACCAAGTAAATATTTAAAAACTCTGCGACACTGTTCCTAATCTTGTGGGTAAGATTATTACATAACAATTGAGTTTACCTTTCCTGAGTATTTACCATTTTTGACTATATGTTTGATTCAGTTCTATAAAGAATTTATGGTTATCATAGGTCCAAGTTGACTCAAGGCTGATTCAACTTTTACCAGACTACCTGGTTTATCAGTTATTAGACAAGTTAAGGCTGAAACATTTAAATTTACGTAAATTTACCAAAGACAAGGTTCTTCATCTTTATCACAAGACTCCTACAAGGCTCCTCCCAGTTGTACTTCTCCAAATACTTTTCACGTAGAAGTCTTGACTCTGAAAGTCGCACGTCTCTCTCTTTCTGACGGACACGCTTGATTTCTTTGGCCCAGTCCTTGGGATCTACAGAGTCTACCACACTCTGTGAGCCTAAAGGCACTTTCTTGAGAGCTTTTCCAAGTCCTGAATTACCACTGACAAGTACAGGCAGACTAGCAGATAAGGCTTTCAGAGCTGTTACTCCAAAACCTTCCGTTCTGGATGGCATTATTGCTAGATCCACTTCACAGAATAAGTTTGCCAGCACTTCTGTACCATCATCAAGGCTGCGAACAATAAGCTGGTTACGACTGATGTCATCAAGGAGCAACTTTTCTGCTACAATAACTCCTTTTCCTCCAGCTGTGCAGACAAACTTGAGTTTGTAGGATTCATCTCTCAACTCAGCAATTGCTTTAGCAGCTATGTCGTACCCCTTGACATTGAACTCATCACTGCTGTTACAAGTTCCAATTACAAGAATACTGAATGTTGTTTTGTCTTCAGTGGCTTGCTCTACTGCCAAAAATTCAGAGAAAATGCTTGGAGTAAGGTCAAAAACTTTTTCTTCCTGCTTAACTGGACGAAGGTAACCCTTGTAAGTTTCTGTCAGCTTGGGTCCAATTGTGATAACTTGATCAGCCATTTTACAGAGTTGTATTTCTGTTTCTTGCATTTTTTGACCTATTGAAATGTTACTGTACATTCCATCTTCTTCAGGAGCAGAGTAAACAACTTGAATCCATTTGCAATGACTGTAATTTGGATTTCTCTTGATGATTGCAATTGGTCGGCCAAGGTGAACTCCATGACCAATGACACAGTCTATTTTATGGTCTCTTGGAGGAAATAACAGGCAAAGAACTGGCTCAACACCAGGAACTCTATCTGCTTCAATGAGCTTCACATTGTGACTTTTTGCACTGCTCCTGTCTGCTTCACTGCAATTTAGAAGCAAGACACTAACATCCACATTGGGGTGTTTAGCTAACTGGATGGCCAGCTCTTGGTTGATAGTTGACAAGTCCCCATTAGTTGATGATTTCCACTCACTACTTAGCAAAGTGACTTTCAGTGTCATGTTTTCCTGGTCTTCCTGTGACACACAGGCCACACCAGGAATTGTGAAATCCTACAACAAAACAAGAATGGTATTGACAATATGCTGTTAAACAATAATAAATCCCAATAATACATGTCCACTTGATATGTAATGTCAATTCTTTTGGAAACTTGCAGTTAAGTTTTATCATTCGCCAAAAAGTCGGAGACATGTAAAATGAGACAAATTTAAACCAAGGAAATATTCAGTTGCCTTAGAGATGACTACACTGTCACTGTCACTGATAACAACCATTACAGTTACAAGGAATTAAATTTGAAAAAAAAAATTATCCTTAAAGGGTCTTCCTTTTCAACCCACTTTGAAATTGGTACATGTAGTCTCATTGAAGAAATTTAGGTAAAAAAAGGAGGAAAACTTGAATGTTTATGTCAAAATCAAAGTTTGGTATTTGCAATAATTTAGATTTCTCTAACTACCTTTTGTAGCATTGACATCACAAATTACCCTGGAAAAAAAAATACAAAATCTGAGTTTACTGAGTCCATTTAAGTTTTCTATTTCCTCTTAGAGTGTTGTTGAGGCCAATTAATGCATACTGGAGGCTAATTTGATCTTTCTGGGAAGCTTTCATTTCCTCAAATATTTAAGATCATTGTTTAAATTGCCTACTTGCAAAATTTGGCAAACGGAAAATGGCCCATTTTCAAAACGAGAAGTTATGTTTCCAAGGACAAATCTTGCAGCAAATAGAGATAAGATCCTGGTCTAATGGTGTTTGCCATTCTTGCTGTATTTCCTTCAGATCACATTCCTGACACACCCATTTCATAAGTAAACATTTCATAAGGAAAAACAAAGTGCTATGACCTTACCATGGATGGAACTCAGAAAAGAGATTTACAGTAGCTAACTATTTACACTTTCCAAGCAACAAAGACACATTTATTTTTACTAACCTTTTTATTCTTAGAATTTTTCCTCATATTTCCAATTTTCAGAAGGCATCACAACCATAAAGCAGCCAATAACCACACATTTAATTTTGTCACACCATGTTAAATTGAAAGTTGCTATTATCAAATTCCCACACCATTTCATATTTTTGTGGTTCCTATTGCCACTTTTTGCAAATTAATTGCCACTGCAACTGTATTATCTCAAGAAGGTTAATACTTTTGATCAGAATCTCTGCAAACTAAAACTTTGTATGACAAGGAACATTTACTGCACAGTATGTCACTGTCTGCCAAAACCTTTCCAAATGACAAGGTATGGGATGATTGAATTGTCAAAATGGAATATTACTTAGCAGACTGCACTGAAAATCTTTATTACCATCAGCTTTTTGTCTGTGCCAAACCATTTTGAGTAGTATTAATTAAAATGGCTGGAATTTAGAGACATTTTTTCTCCATAATGGCTTTTAAAACACACCCTCTAATTCCATGAAATTCCACCAATTCCATGACACTGAGCAAAATACAATTTTTCTCTTCAGATTATGTGTGGAATCATATATCCCATGTGATAATTTTAAGTCATTCTAACAAATCTGTCAATAAATATTTCATTAATGATTTGAGACAAAAAAAAACCATAAAATTTAGTGTCCAATACCACTTTAATTTGATATTGAAAATGTACCTTAAAGTAGGCACTATACCATAGATTATTTCTTGTCAAAAACAGACAATTGACTACCAATAGCAAGTACCTGGCCACCACCCTGTTCATACATCTTAAACAGATAGAGAAAATTTCATGGAAGAATGTTTAAATAAATCACCTATTCTTGGAAAGGCATGTTATAAAAGTCATAGATCATGGACAGAAAGCTATTTTTATATGATTAAAAAAAAATTATCAAGATTCATAATGAAATAAATTTAAATTGCAGAAATGATCCTTAAAGGTACTACATTGTAATTCAACCCTTTAACTCCCAACATTGGATTGTTAATTCTCCCCTGTAGCTACTACACATTTCCTTATAAATTAGTCATGAGAATTTGTTGTTAGATCAAGATAACAGTTTCTACCTGGTAAGATTAAGTATTCTCATTATCTGTTTGCTGGATAATGTATGAATAATATTGGAAGAAGTGACTTGTTAATCACTTCTGCCAGTTAAAGGGTTAAGCAATTGCAGAGAACAGGATTCTTCCACAGGATTCTACTGAAGCCGATAAAAGTCAATACCAATATATATTTGAAATCCAAAACATAGTCCAAATTGACCGAGCCTTCTTCTCAAAGTCTTCACATGGATAGAAATACGATGATATTTTATGAAAACACTGATGACAATCAAAATCCTCTTTTAAAACGATGCTCTATAGCAAATTTTTTATCTGCTGAAGTATCCACCCCTCATTGGTGTGTAATCACTCATTATTCTCAAGAAACTAGGAATCTGCGTTATACCAACCAACCGGATGATACAACAGCATTTTTGAATTAGAAAACACATTGCCATATATTTGTGGAGTGGTTGGTCACTAACATCCATAGAGGCTGGATCATTTAAAAATGTAAATTGGTGATCTCAAACAAATTCCCACAGCTTATGTTTAGTGATTCAATCCAAAGTAAATAAAAAATCAGCAGTGTGAAAGTTGTGAAAAAGTTACAAACAGGATCGACAAATAGGGAACTGCAAATGCACAACCCGATGTCAAGAAAAACCTCCTCTCATCAAATCCCGAAAACAATGTTACAATGTGCATGATTAAATCAGTTGATTGAACTAGAAATATTTACATATGTTCGCATTATCTGACGAGTTGGCAGGGACAAAGAGATTTTTCACATGAGCCTATTCTAAATTCTTAGAGACACATGACCTGCAATCCAGGTACTATCTTACCGCAGGAAGAGATAAAGGACCCTAGAAACAAGGTTGGGTCTTCATTCCCGTGAAGGGATCTGATCACAATTTTTAATAAGATGTTTCATTTGAGACATTATGGTTTGAAAATATTCTATGATATGTATGTAAGCTGACTTTTTCAAACTTTGTGACACAATCCAGAAGTTTACAGCTGTA